AGGACAAGGCCCCCCTGTGATTTCCCTTACGCGACTACAAAAGATATAATTCAATCAACCCATCGCGCCAAACCTGCACTACAACTGTGAATCAGTAGACCTTTGTGGCTCACTTATGACGAGGATGCACAAGGAGCTAAAGAAGGGTTCGCATGTTCTAGGCCAAAGCGAGAGATATCTACGCAAAAGGATGGCCCAGGAAATTAATTTAAAAGGCTTATCTCTAACATGCTTAAATTGTGTTATTTCTATGTTGTACATTCTTCTCTTGACCTTGGAGGACCTGCCCAGGTGGCTTCAGTTGTCAGAGTGTCATACTACGCAGTGTCTTCACCTGAGCCACATTTTATATTTATATGGAAATTCCTCAATGTGACAAAACTATTCGAGAGATATCAAGGGTTCCATCTAATTCATTCGGGTCATATATTTACGTGTAACTTTTCTCTTCACCTCGACATCAAACACCCAGGCATCAAGAGCCAGGGTGCGAATTGTCGGACTTTCGCTAGCATTGGCCCCTGAGATCACCGATATTGCCTACCAAGTGAAACATGGTCGGCTCAACCTAATACCTATGCCTACACTCACAAGTGACAAGTAAGTGAGAAAAAAATAAAAGCTCCCCTGGGAGATGTCGTAAAGATACTAAACTGACATGTACAGATTTCAAGAAAAAGAGCTATGTATGAGGCTTGAACTTCCAGCGAAAACAAGCCAGCCAACTGTGACGAGGCAAGCTATGGCTACAGTCACCAATCGCACTAGCTACCTAGGTGGCAACTGGGAACTTGAAGCTTGACTGAGAAAGGCAATCAAGGACCAATTGAAGTGAACAAGACTTTCAACCTGTCAAATACGTTGGGCATGGCATTCTTCGATCCCATGGGGGTGGACTAAACCAAGAACCTACTACACCTCGCCCTATAAAACTCGAGTGATAAAGCTCCAGCGATTTGCCCACTAGGCATTATCACCACCCTTTCCTATTCCCAAAGGCGCGGGGAAGAGCGTCACGGCGAGGATCATGCTGGGTGGGCTTGCCCTGCGCTGTGGATTCGTCTGTGATGATCCCAAATCGACGTCGGCCATGATGACCCAACCTGCGGAATAAACAATGAGCCAGCATGTTCGGTGTTGAGCTCGGTCATTATTAGATATCCTAGGCATTGGCTAGGATGAGCCAGCCTAGAATCACTGGTGGGAATCATAAACCTGGCTTGTTGAGCCAGACAGCAGCGCCACCCTGGAAGAACACGATAGATAGGACCCAAGAAACAGGAATGGTGGAAACACGCAATCACTGTCCACTGGGAAACCACTTCCGATGCTCAAGGTGGTCTTTGAAAGATGTGCAGAAGTAGCCCTGACAACATCCACGGTGATGCACTTCACAAATCGCCGTTTTCAACCGTTTTTCGATCGAGCTTCTCTTATCACTTGACAGATCTTGTGAGACAAGATCTGCTAACTCCATCCGAATGCTCGCGTGCATGCGAGAACCAGACCTAGAGATACACATTTCCCTTCATAGGGCTCGGTGAGCTCGCACATCAATGGACCAGTCAATTGCTTCTACGGGTTACCCTCGAGTTGCTTGCGTCGGAGCTATTGACTGTTTAGGATGCTTGGGATGGTGAGTATTGCTATACCTTGAGAAAATGAAGAGGTTATGCAATGGTTCAAATGGGGTTGGGATATTTCGTGTTGCTGTGCTCCGCAAAGAAGAAAAGGAAGAAAAGGAAAAAAGAGGGGAGATTGAAGAGGCAGAAGAAGAGGAAGAGGAGAGGAAAGCAGATGAATCCACTTGAAACAGAAGAGCTTCAAGTGAAGTTGCGAATAGGGAGATGAAGATATCTACAGCAGAAGAGGCGCATCCAATACTCGAATACAGACCATTTAAATTGTTCCGCATCTAATGCAAACGAAAGACTGCTCCTGATAGATGCATCCAAAAGAAATTTGAATGTGAAAACATTCACCAGTCCATGTTGTCACAGTATATGCCGAGAAGACTCGACCAATATTGTGGAACCTGGACAAAGACCGCGTCGACATCCTCGGGAACCAGTAAACCAGCGACCTGACTGTGAATGGCACAGATCTAAGCCGAAGACCTGGAACCAATTGACTCTCTCAAATGAGACTGTTATGACCATGACTTGCTATACCCAGACATGACATTGACAGCCCCTTGCCGAGTCTTAGTATGGAAGTCCTGGATGAGAAACAGAATCAAAAGACAGAGTCGGAAATTGACTGTCATTCTGACTGTCAATTTAATAGCTTGAACCGAACCCATTCCCTCTCATAGAGGACATTGCTCGACTATGCCAGGGGAAGAAATACAGATACCTGATTGTGGCAGTGAGTATCAATGCCCGTTGCTCAAATACCAAAATGTCTGCAGCTCTAGACATAGACAGGGTAATTATGACCTCCAAGCTTGTCATGGGCAGGAAGAAATGGAAAGAGAAAAAAAAACAAGAAAGTAGCACCTGGACAGTCTCACCATGCACGTATTGTCCCTCTCCAAGTGGACTTGCGTGCCCTGCTGGGATGGCCATGGACATTCCAATTGTTATATTTGTTTTAACACATGAATGAAGGTTTTCTTGTTGAACGCAGAAATAGTAACCAAAAATCATGTTTATTATAAAAATGAGGGTATATACCGACGCCACATGAATCAAAGAGCCCAAAGAGACAGAGACAGGGTAGTATGTAGGGGTTCATATCACCAGCAAGGAAGAGATCAAGACATGAAAATGCCAATAGGCCCAAGATCAAAGAGAAGCAAAGAACAGAACTGCCAACAGCCTATCCCTCACTGCCGCCTTCCTCTCCCCCTCTTTCCCTGTGTCCGACTCTCATCAACAGTCTCAACCTCATCCTCATCAGTCCCCTTCTTCAAATCCTCACCCTCAGCAAGCCCCCACTGCTCACGGTCATACCAGTCCTCTCCATCACTCATCTCACCAACATGTCCCTCGGCCTTACACCACTCCAGAACATCAGCTTTCATGCGGCAAGCTCTATTCAGTGAGTCGAGCATGTGCTCAACACCGCGCACCGTCTCTTCCTGTTTCTGGATATACGACCAGAGCAGACGGCGGGTTTCTTCGGCCTCGGAGGCAGGGAGACCGTAGTTCGGGTCGGGGCGGATGTTCTTCGGGACGAGGAAGAGAGGGTGTGGGGTTGGGAGTGGGAATGCTGTGTCGGAGATTGGGGAGTCGTTTTCATTTTCAGGGTTGACTGCGTTGGCTTGCGCGCGCGTTGTCATTCGTCGTGGTGGTTCCGGTGAGGAGCCGTCCTGCATTTCGAGGTCTTGTTCTGTATCGTCATTGAGTTCCGTTGTGTCGACGGGATCGGCGTCTTTCGTTGTGTCCATGTCTTGTTTCCCGTTGGAGGGTGGGTTTCCGCTGGCCCCGGCTGCGTTATTATTACTGTTGTTGCTCTCCTGAGCGGGAGTCGAGATGTTAGGGTGAGGTGGGAGGTCTTTGACGGTGCCATAGGTCTCTTCTGATTTGAGCTGCAGACCGCTCTTGGTGGGTTCGCCCTCTGCTAGGACCTCGGCCATTTCCACGTCATTCGTCGTTGAGCTGGCCTGGGCTTTTGTCCCGTTCTGTGCTGGCTGGGGGTCCTGTGTGACTGTTGATGCAGGTACCTTTTGTGCTGCGTCCTGGGCATTGAGATCCTTAGTGGCAGACGGAGTGGCAGTCCCACTTGCACCCTGTTGACCGGCATATACGCTCGGGGCATTGCTAGCAAGCCTGGGGTCGAAGATCAAGTGGTCATTAGGCGTCTCAAGCGCACCGCACGGCATCCAACTGCTATCACCGAGGAATTGCCTATGCTGGCTCCTGGCGCCCCAGAGCAAAGCCCGTTCCTGGCGGAGCTTGTGCTCAACTGCCGCTGTCATGTTCTCTAGGGCTTGCGACGTGTATGCTTGAGACATGGAAGGATGGGTAGCGAGTTCGGAAGGATGCTTCAAAGGGCACAGGAGAGCTAGAAAGAAGAAAAGAAACAGATCAGTCATCAAGCCACAGACAAGACTCAGAAAAGGGAGAGAGAAACTCACTCTCAAGCGCGATCCCAGAGAATGGGTTCTCTTCAGCAGCCGCAGCATCAGCCTCGGAATCTTCATCATCCTCATCAAGCTCGTCTCCCTCTGAATCATAGCGAACCGGGTTCGGCTGAAGAATGTAGCGCGTATAACCAGCGTGGTCGACTCTCTGATCACCGCTCAAAAGTCAGTTTTCATAAAATTCCAGTCCCATCTTATCGCCACAGCGCTCAAGTCCGAGATCGGCAAACCACGCACCTGCTTGTAGTAATCCTCGGCGTGGATGTAGCCGAGTGCACCCTCGCTCACATACTTAGCATTAGCATGCATTTTGTTCCCTCGGTTCGTCGGTGCCATGATCGGGTCGTCCGGGCCATTATCTGGTGAAGAAAGAAGTCAGAAAATAATTCTGCTTGAAAATGTAGACTGCTTGGTTGGTAACTTACCTTCACGCTCTCTGCGCAAGGCCCGCTTCATGCCGGTGATGGTATCGGCGATTAACGCCGCTTGCGCCGCCATAGTTACAGTGTCGACAACGAGATTGTCGGGTTAGACACGTCGGTTCGCGCGTTGGAGGGAAGTTTCTCGGGCAAATGGGGGCGTGGGAACGGATTCCAGAGGAGGGGAAAAGTAAGAGGCCGGATATTTCGACGTTGGGGCCTCAATTATAGGTGTAGATACTGCGGGAATCAAGGGAAGTGAGCTGTAATGTCTTTGGGTGACTGTGATGAAGCTCTCTGACGGCAAGACATGCGGAAGACCGATCTCCGCTAGCCAAATTAGGAAATTCGGGTTATGTGATAAGGGCTGGGCACGTGACTTATCCTCATCTATACAGAGCAAGAGCTGGGGGTGTTTATTTTGTACAATATTTGCTCATTATGAGACAGTCCAATTCATCTACAGCATATATCTCAGATCCTAATCATATCATTCAATCGTCGGCATCAACCCATACAAGAACCCCCTTCTTGTCCGACTTCATATCCCCTGTTGGAAGGACACGGAGCGTTTTGTTGAAGTAGGTATCAATAACCACCAGCTGCGGCTGAATCCATAAGCCGCGCTTCGCCGCAAACAGATTAAAGTTCACTGTATGGCGACTCAGTGGGACAAGCTGCACAACGGTGGTTTTCGGCCCGCTAAAGGCAAAGTGCTCACTGGCTTCCATGACCAGGTTGAAGGTGAGGAAGTGGGTGGAGGAGTTCTCCAGTACGTAATTCATATGAATCAACCCTGCCATATTGCTAGATGGGGTAGCCGATGCAAGGACTCGAGGCTCGCCCATCGGGACGACAAATCGGGGGATATCGAGGACGGTGGTTGTGACCGAGTTCTCTGCGTCCGAGGAAGCTGCAGATCCAGACGACTGCCGACGCCAATCGACCTCCAATGCGCAGGTGAGCGCAGTTGGTCGACGGTCCCCGAGAAGAAGCTTCTGAACATCGAGGCTAAAGTTGGATTCTCGCAGTTCTTCTGGTGCAAGATGGGGCGTTTCTGGACTGACAAGCTCTTCTGAGTGAACCTCGCAATTGGCTCCTCCATTAGCTTCGAGGAGAATAAGAGACATCTTGTCAATTACCAGCGGCTCCAGTGCAAAGGAAACTACCTTGGAATTGAGACACCACTTCTGGAACAGGCCTTTAGGCGTTGGCGCAGAGCCGTCCTCGAGTAAGTCGTCGCTAACTGCGAAGAAATTGGGCCATGGCTGAGGGTGAATTGCCGGCAAGAATTCATAGTTTGCTTCAAACGGTCGAATAAATGATAGATCCACGGTGATATTCTTCATAATCGGAGTCTGAATATCAGACACCAAATGGTACACAGCCGAAACTTCCAACGTGAAATCCGTCGCCTCCTGGGTATCGGCCAGCACAATTGTCAGAGTTTTGTTGGAAGAGCGCTCCAGAACGCCCACTGATCGTTTCAAATAATGTGACAGCCCCTCAATCGGGGTGCTAGCACCTGATTCGAGGGGTCCAGGGTTGCTATCGCCGTCGAGCCACTGTATTTGTGCTGTAGGCTCGGTGCCGAAGAGTCTGATTTCAGCAGATACATCGGCAGCTTCGTCTTCTTCGTTATGTATACCAATCTGAAGCATCACCCGTTCATTGGTATAATAGGTCTCCTTCAGGTTGGGAGTTGTGAGGCGGATCTTGGGAGGCTTAGGCAGAACCTTGCACCTGCCAGTATCTCGATCCTTGCCCACTCTTCTGCGGGTCACGCCCTTTTGCGTCTGCTGCCACCAGAACGATTCACGCTGGTCTGGCTCGGTGATCGCGTAACCAAGATCAAACTGGTCTTCTTCGATCAGCATGGTGATTGAAGCAACCCTGGCTTCACCAGCTTCGCGAGGAATACAGGTGAGGTTGAAGATCTTGGTCTGGGAGGGCCCCAGAGTCAGGTCTGCTATGCCGACCAATGCAGTTAGTCCACCGGCTGGGGATTGTACCATGGTATCAGGGTTGCTCGGCTCGCGGAGTGGAAGCGTTGCGATGCAACATGGGGTTGTAGTGTCAGCATCCTGATTCTGGTCAGATTGAACCTTTACTGGGCGAAGACATCCTTCAAAAACCAGTTTGACCTCTGAAAGACGGATAGGGGCCGAGGATTTATGAGCACAGGATGTGATGGCAAGTTGGGCCTGTAGAGGTTCCCCAACGTTGCCATCGGATTTCTCAAACACCAGCGACGCGGTCACTATAAAGACAGAGGTTAGTGCAATCTTTGCATTTCGGGCTTGTTGACTTACGGCTTGTTATGACATCCTCTGCGCGAAGGATAAGAGAAGGTTTAGGTTTTTCTGAAGGCAGACTTTCAAGACTCCTGTGGATGTCATAATGCCACGCAGGTCTTGGTTTGAAATCTATCGGAATGGATATTAACATTGAGGGCAATACGCACAGAATAGATGGAATCAACTCACTCTTATTCAGCAGCTCCCAGTCCACTCGCAAGACCGTCTCACTGTCCTGCACCCTGAGGGCACATTCTCTGAGTGCCCATCCAAAATTGACCATCAGATGCCACCAACCCGAGCGGCGCCAGCTAAGAGTAGACCACAGCGGTTGAAGAAGGCTATACGCTTCGGGCCATGACCCAATACGCATATACTCCTCGGCCGCCTCGAGAGTCAAGTTCTCAACTTTCCTTGTTTGGTGACGTTTTGCAAATTCCTCGATAGCAGCCTTCAGCGTGTTCAATATTAGACCAGAGTGGTCGAAGCCAGTTCGTCCGTCTTGGGGTGCTTCGGCGTGGGTGTCAGGGACAAGATATGTGTCGTACAAGTAGGATTTGTTTGCGAGTTGTGAGGCGGGTGATTGCCCGGGGGGCTTGCGATCTTCCATGGGAATTTCCTGTGCAAGCGCACGTCGGACCATTGTATGCTTCGCTGAACGGTGTAGCCAATAGCCCTCGTGGTGAAGATTTTCCCAGGGCCTGACTCTTTCCCCGGTTGGTATCGATTTCTCGGGTAAAATATAAAGCTCCCCAGGCTGTTCAGGAGAGATCTCGCTGGAGAGAGACGGGATTTTCGCTCGGCGGATAAGCTGCGCCATTACCATCGACCAACGCGCCTCCCATGCCTCCCATCCGTAGTGTTTACTGCCCTTTCCTCTGCGATTTACGATATCCTTTACACGGATTCTGTGATCAACCCAAAGCCGAGCTGCAGCGGTCGTCTGACCCGTCCATAACAGGCAACGTATAATCCGGATGGCAAGGGCGTCGGCCAAGAGGCGCGCATCGTTAAATCGAGGATTCCAGCCTGCAATATTTTCGAAAACTTCATGCCCAAATAGAGTGTCATACGCACTCTCATAGTTCCGGCAGGCTGCATCCATTTCTTGTCGAAACTCGGCAAAGATTCCGAGCTTGAATTCATACCGTACGTTCCAGCCTTGGGATGATAGGGTCTGAGAAGTTCCGGTTGTTGGCGGAGCAGTCGGAGGAGGGATACTGCCCCTGTTTCGTTTGCGCCTGGCATGCTTGGACAGATCCCGATAGTATTCAACAACTGACGGTTGTAGTAGAGAGAAGAGTGATTTCACGAAGTCTTGTAGTTCCGACGAAGTTGCGTCTGGTGGGATCACAAATATCGACCTGGGGTCAAGGTTTGTAGCTCGCCGGATCCCCGCAATACGGTCATCAATCTCGCCCTCGTAGCCGCCTTCTTCCCCGTCTTCTGATATCAGAACGACCACAAATCGCGTTTTGTACCCGGAGGATTGCCATTCTTTCTTCAAGCTATTGATCTCGATCTTGAGTTGATTGTCTCGTAGCGAGTTCATATTCGGGTCCAATGAAAATGGGAAGAAATTGATCACTGCTGCTGGAACCAGCTTTTGGTGTTTAGTTACCCATAAAGGAGTGAGCAAGCCATCTGGGAAAGTTGGGGAACCCGGTGACAAAGGCGATATCGGCGAGTGGAGGACAAAGTGTGTGCTAGGTTCCGAGGGTCCACTATCCTGGTCATCGCTGGGAGTAGTTGGTGGTGAGGGGATAGGGGGGTCGGCTTTTCGTGGAGGGAGTCTGCATGACTGTGCTGGTGTTAGCAAGTAGTCCGCAGTATAATGGGGATTGGAAGCATAGAGTATCAACGTACGCGGCCAGAACTTTTGATGCGATAGCCAATATTTGCAGTCGTAGTATTCCCAGTTACAGTAACTCTAGACTTCCATGGCATCTGAGAGCTATCTTCCTCTAGAAGCAGGCTCCGGAGCTCCTCCGCAACAGCCCCGCTTAGAGGTGGGAAATCTGAGAAGATATGGGTCCCCTTCTCTGATAGCAGAGGATAGCTCGAGGGTGTTTCAGAGTCATTTTCAGGATCTGCCTCTAGTCCTGAGAGCAGGACCAAAGGCAGATTGTGATTGACGTAGTCTTCGGGGTAGGCGTCCATTGCGGGCAATGGCTGTTTCGCAGTGCGGTCACCACATTTCTAGAGGATAGAGAAGACCTGATGATGTTAAGGGCAAAATATAAAGATCCTTGTTAACGAGAAGCCCAAATATGCTTCGGAGTTTTAATGTTTCAATGATGTTTTGGGTAAGATAGGCAAATGGCTGGGGGATATTGCCATGTTGCCATGTTGGGCGGTCAGCTATGTTTACTCTAGATGCACATGGGAGTCCTTTCTTTGATTTTGACATGTACAAGTAGATCTCTATATTGGTAAGATAGATATGTTTAACATCCAAGGTCTTGTAATCAACAGGAGATGTTAAATTAGCAGTGATTGGGGATATGTCCGAATACTTCTGTATATAGATCCGCTATATATATTTGTTTACTGTTTACTATTTCCTAGTTATTTTACTATTGGTACTATTTCACGTCCAATCATTATGTAATATATATTCATATTCCTAGAACCTAGAATATATACATCTCACTAGATAAGAGCTGAAATCTACTTAGTAGTCCACTATTAATATGAGTTGATCAGCATCCTCGTATAGCCTATTAAGCCTAATAAGGGGCCCAGAGGAATTCACCCACGTGGAATGTCAAATACTTATTTGATAGCTGTAAGGAATCTCGTATAAACATGGATATATTATTGATCTAAATGTATGTACATACTACTTCTATAGTATCGGCAAATTAAGATCCCAGTGGAGCAAAGGCGTCGACGCTAAGAGATCTCAAAAAAAATAATAAGAACACTCCCTTTTCTTTCTGAATTCACGCGACTTAATATTTCCTCTCTTTTTTTTATCGGTATAACCGGAATCCCTTCTTTTAACAACCTACGTTCACTCCCTATTCCTTTTTATCTCAATATCTCAGTAAGGGGTAAATCCAGAAACCCTTATCAAACATCTTTCGCATGCAGTAGATCATGCGTCTACCCATTTTACCCTGCATCCGATCCTTGAAGTTTGTTTGGGGTTTACACCTTTAGAAACCATGTCGAACGAGGCTCCAGTAGCAGAGTCGGCTCTGCTTAATCGTCGTCGCCGTCGTAAATCGTTGCCTTCGCGCAATGGAACAGATCCAACCTCGCCTGAAGTCATTTCCTCTCTCATTTCGTCCCTTTCTACTATCTCTGTGCCCCTAAACTCGCACTTTGACACCGTCCCGAAGATCGACAACGAAGATCCATTGCCAGAAGTACCACGTACAGCGCCAGTCTACTCCCTTCCTCCGTCCGAGCATGGGTTTGGAATGAGTTACGGCGCCTACAAGCCAGCGGAACCATCCGCGGCACCGGAAAACCCATTTCTACACCCCGACGATGCGGCCTCGTCACCTGTTATTCGCATGGCCAGGGCGCCCCCGTCACCAAAGTCGCCCCGATCGCCGAGATTCAAGCCCTTCAGAACGACCGAATCGTCCACGCGCCCGGCCTCGAGGGAATCCTATACATCTGTGATAGCTGCCCCCGAGCCCTTCTCAATCGGAACGATCAGCACGGAGCCTGGCCCCCGTCAGTCAACCCCGAGCATTGCTTCAAATAGTTCCGCAGGGCGGACAAGAAGCCTCAAGGGTCCGTTTAGTCTACTGAAGAAGTCATCACGAGAATTCATGGGCGAAAAGGATCCACACTTCGAGCGCCTGCGAAAGACTACCAGCTACAACGACAGTCTACGACACAACACCCCGCGCAACCGAGCAAGCTTGCGCTCATTGCATTCCATGGCGGAAGTTACAGAGGAGACTCGTCCGGCGGACGTCAAGGAAGAGCCCCACGAAGAGAAAGTCGCCTGTACTCCACCAACCAAAGATCACCAATCGTTCCACGGTACCCCAGATGCTAGCAACCCCGGCGGAATTGGAAGTGGTAGAATCATTCCAACTCGCGACTCATCTCTGCGACATCGGCATAGCCAGTCGTCAGGCTCGAAAAAGCACCGGTCTGCTCGTCATAGTCGATACTCTTCCACGGCCAGCAAAGAGTTCAACACAGATAATGGATCACCGGGAACGAGCAATGATGCAGAACAGGTGACTCGCCGGATCCAAGAGTTGAAAGACCAGCAACAGAAGATCAAGACCGAGTTAGAAGCGGAAAACAGCCCCGAACACTCGACTAAGACGAGCCCCGTGAAGCAGCCAAGGTCTTCAAAGGCATCGCGGGTTCTAGGTTATGATTTCAACGAGGCCACCATGCAGAATGGACCAGGCCGCAATCAGCCATCTTTCAACGACAGTGCGCCTTCGCCAAACGTGATGACAGGGAAAAGTCGCACTGGGAGCCGACCAGGAGCACCACTCACATCGAAGTCTACTCACCTACCACCGCAGTTGCCCAAGTCATCCGCGGAACACTCGGATTCCGAGAGAGCTAGATACAGACAGTCCCTCGAGCCACTCGCACCAACAACCCATCGCCGCACCCCATCCGGTCATCTGTCCCATCTGTCAAACGGGCGTCCCTCGTATAGCACCGAACGACCATCCAGTGCGGATTCAATCGATCTTGCTGTTGACGACTACATCTTTTCGCCGAAGCTGACCCAGAGAGTGATTCACCCAACCACCGGCCGCTCCATCGCCTTCTCTGAAGTCGGCAATCCTAAGGGCCATGTTGTGCTATGCTGTGTAGGCATGGGTCTCACTCGGTATCTGATGGCATTTTATGATGAGTTGGCTCGAACGCTCAATCTACGACTGGTCACATTGGATCGTCCTGGCGTTGGTGAGAGCGGTCCACACCAGGGAGATGAGCCGAGCACCCCTCTCAGCTGGCCCGGTAAGTAAGACGGCCGAGATATTCCAATATCGCGCTAATCAATAATAGATGATGTTGCAATCGTTTGCAACCACCTCCGAGTGACTAAATTTTCCATCCTTGCCCATTCTGCCGGCGCAATTTACGCTCTTGCAACGGCGCTCCGAATTCCGCAGCATATTCGTGGCCGCATTCATCTCTTAGCCCCATGGATTCCTCCATCTCAGTTGTCTACCATCGGCTCTCAGAAGGATCCCGCGCCCACCAACGCGGTCCCTTACTCCCAAAAGATTCTTCGTGCTCTTCCCACATCCCTTCTCAAAGTGGCCAATTCAAGCTTTATGAGTGCCACTAGTGCCAGCATCACCACCAGTCTACCCAAGTCCCCCCGACGGGTCAAGCGCAAGGCCGCTGCCAAAGAAGCTTCCAATGCGAATGCAGTCCCTCCAGTACCACCTATACCTTCTGTTGAAAACAATCCGCAGACCCAGCGAGTGGACATTGTACCGAATATCAAACCGTCGGCCCCGACCACCGCGTCGTATAGAAAGAGCGATACGACTCTCGGGTCTTTCACAAAGTCTCCAGAAGACGAGGTCGAACGGCAGCGTGATTATGATACTCGTCTCACGTACAAGATCTGGGAGTTGGCTACCACCAACGCCAACCCGGCGGTTGACTTGTTGATCTGCCTCGAGCGCCGCCAAACAATTGGATTTCGCTATGTGGACATCACGCGATCAGTGGTGATGCACCATGGTAGCAAAGACCCCCGCGTTCCGGTAGAGAATGTCCAGTGGCTTGGCAAGACGATGCGCCGCTGTGAGGTCCGGATCCTCGAAGGCGAAGGCCACGGGCTTATGGCATCTGCTGGTGTCATGGGCAGTGTCTTGACCGAGATTGCCAAGGAGTGGGAGGACTGGACAATTCTTGTCCAAGGCAAACGTCGAGCCACTGCCAGCCATGCTGCACGGCCTGGACTCTCGATTCATACTTGATCTCCCTAGCCTGTCATCTCTTCCCCATTTAACCCATGTCTTTGACATAACACTACATTCAGCCCTGGTGGCTCATATTCCCCTAATTATCAATGCTCTCGTTTCGACAGCCTGCAGCTGGACTGCCACTGTTCTGATATACCTCTTGAACTTCTATATCCTATCGTTCCTTGCCATTTTCTTACCCATCTACACCTGTGAGGTTCATGTCCCTCTCTATGATTTACTGTTGACATGGGTTTTGCGTTTGAAAGAACCCGTCTGATTTAGCATAATACCCAGTCATGCCATATTCTAATCAATATTGATAATTCATTAAAAGTAAAAAGTAAGACATAAACAAGCATATACATCATATAGTTCTGCCAAGCATCAGAGGCCGCAAATCAGGGATGACATGCCCTTGGCCCCTTCCAATATGACCCCACTTCTCTTCTCCTGACCTGTTTTGATCTTTTCTATTGTTATAGATTTTGGAGGAACAGAAGAGTGTTGAATGTTCCCACCCTAAACTGTTAGCGCCGAGAACGGAGGAATTCTTGGCTGGAACAGCCGACGTCACGTTGTCTAGAAGTCACCTCGGATCTGACAGAAACATCCTGATTCAACTTTTTTGATACAAGTCACAAGCCACACGGCTATAATCGCAATTTCCCCATGCCTTCTTCCCAACGGCGGCTTCGACTGATTGTCGTCGCGGTCATCGCGATTCTTTTCATGGTCTTTTACTACACTGTACGTCCCCAGATCTCCTTCGCACTGGGTTTCTAGATATCTAATGCAATCAAATCCAATCTACAGGGCGATGCAAGCAAAATACAAAACCAAAAGTTCTATCGTTCGACTCTCGACGCAATGAAAGCGAAAGAGCTGGCCAAGCAGGCCAAGGCCCAAGAGAAGGCCCAGAATACCGTGCATGCGCCCGGACAGAATGGCGGTGCCGGTGGTGGCGCCGGTGACAAGGTGCCCGTCGCTGAGGTCGAGAAAGTTGCTGTTCCTCCTATGGGGAATGAAGACACAGAGGAGATCCCGATTGCGGGACGGACGAAGATGACCGTTCCTAAGAAGGTGAATCAGGATACGCCGTCAGAGGTTCAGTCGGAGACTAAGAGTGAGGAGGAGAAGGAGCGCGAGGAAAAGGCGAAGAAAGAGCGCGAGGAGAAAGAGAAAAAAGAGGTCGAGGCGACGACAGAGCTTAATGCGATTCTTAAGCGGGCTCCAGGTATG